GGGAGGGTTCCCCCCACCCAGCAGCCAGTGCTGTGGTGGGCACGTGGCAGAGTAGGGTGTGAAAAAGGGGGCAGGGGTGGCCTCTTGAGCTCCCAACCTGCTGTGGGGTGCAGGGGGTTGCTGGGGGTTGAGGTGCCACTGACCTGCCTCTCTGCCCATAGAGGGGTGTTCAGTGGATGGGAAAGGCCAAGTGCCACTCCCTGAATGACCCTGAGCAGGTGAGGTTCATGGACAGGAACATCTACACCAAGGAGCAGCTCAGGCCCTGTGGCAGGGACACCTCCCTCCACCTTCACTGCCTACCAGCACCAGCACACAGGGAACAGCCTTACAAGTGTGGGAAACAAGGAAAGAGGTTTTTGAGGAGCTCAGATTTCGCGAAGCATCACTGGACACACTCAGGGAATGTGACCGTGGTCACAAGGGCTTTCAGGATGAAGAAGAGAAGAGAATGTTGACTCCATGATCAGAAGGCTTGATTTATTATTTTATATGTTACATTAAGACTATACTAAAAAGAAAGGAAAAGGTTTCTTCAGAAGCTAGCTAAGCTAATAGAAAAGAATGAATAACAAAGATCTGTGTCTCAGACAGAGAGCAAGAGCCAGCTCTGCCATGAGTGGTCAGTAAATCCAAACATCCACAGGAGACCAATCACCTGTTGCATTCCACAGCAGCAGATAACCATTGTTTACTTTTGGTTGCTGAAACTGCAGCTTCTCACAAGGAAAAATCCTAAGAAAGGATTTTTCATGAAAGATGTCTGCGACAGGGGAAGAGTCCATCCACCCTCCCCCAAGCCAAAGCATGATCTGAGAAATGCTCTTTAGGCCTTGGCCTTGATGATCAAACCCTGGGCTCAGCTCCTTTGGTGTTTACCACAAGCACTATCTGCTCCAGGGACTGGTGTTGTCCAAAAAGCTCCTGCTTACTAACTAACAGCCTTGGAAACTTTTTTTTTTTTTTTTTTTTTTTTTTTTTTTTTTTTTTTTTTTTTTTTGCCTGAATAACATCCCAAATGGGATCATATTTTAGTTCTCAACCTTTCCCAGAAAGTCACCAGCCTGAGCTTGGGCCAGGATGGACAATGTCTGTGAATAAAGCCCATCCCTTGGGCCCTATAAACAGCAGCCCAGAGTGAGTGAGACCCTTGAGTTACAGTACAAGCTGGCTTGTACTGTAACAAGTTGGGCAATTTCACCCAATCACACCTGCACCCTAAGCTGCAGACATCTCACTGCTCAGAGAACTGAGAGGTGGTAAGATCAGACCAATGAGCGGTTTAGACTGGGGCATTTTCAAACCCCCTGTATAAAGCTGGGTTCAGACAATAAAGCTCTCTCTTATTATTGCCACTTGTAACTCTGAAGTGTGTCTCTGTCTCTGACCACCGACTCCACGTTACACCCTTGGAACTCTCCTGGGCTGCAGCAGCTGCGACAGCGACCTCCCTGTGCTGGGGCCTCTGTGAGCAGGGAACTCTCCTGTTTGCTGCACTTGGGGCACCCCCAAATGGTCCTGGGCTGAGCCCCCCCATTCCTCCTCAAGGCTCTGCCCTGCACCTGGTCGGAAGATGCAAAGGCAACTGAAGGAAGAGTTCCACTGGAGTCCAGGGGAATTTCCCACAGGGACCTCGTACAGACTCCTGTCCATACATGTGTGACGCTGAATATGCCATAGCAAATGTCCTGGGAATGCAGCTCTCCTGGAGTCGGAAGTACTTAAAATATATAATTCAGTAGGGCCTGTGGGTATGTTCCTGTTGTGGTGTAATAAATTCTATGTGAAGTTAGTGATTAAGTTTCAGTTAAGTGCTGTTAAGTTTAACTTAAGTGTATTGGGTCTTTAAACCTGAACTGTTGAAATCCAAGCTCAGTTCTGCACAGGTGTCAACTCTGACCCTTGTGACTCAACAGTGGGGTCTTCAATATTCCCTTTTATCCCTACCTTTTTCTATCCTTTTCTCTCCCCTGCTCCTCTGTCCCATCCCCCCCCTCCTTCCCCGCCCTCAGCATCTAGTAAAATGGTTTTGGGTTTATTTCCATTTGAATTGATCGATTTTTGATTTTTGCTGTTTCCCAGAGTGCTTTAAGCATCCAGTAAGTGGCAGAGTGAACCTTGCCAAGGAACTTTGTTGTAGGGTCATTTTTATACGAGGCCTGTTTTTGCTGATGGGTTTCCCAGTGATTCTTTAAGTGACCTTAAACATTGGAGCTCAAGAGAACAGCACTGCAAACATCCAAGGCAGTGCAGGAGGGGCAGGAGATGCTCCAGGCAGTGTTCATATTGGTTGTGGAGGGAGGAGGAGAAGGGATGGAGAAGGAGGGATGAAGAAGAAGCGAGAGAAAGGATGGACAAGAAGGAGAAAAAAAGCATGATTAAGAAGGAGGAAGAGGAGTAGGGAGAGACAAGGAGGAGGAAGAGGAAAAAGGAGTCATCTTGTGGTGGTCACTGTTTCTACAGCCCAGCTTGCCCCTGGGGGGTTTCTCCCTCCCTGCGTTTCGCAGGTAACTGGGGAAGAGGAGCTTGGCCCAAATATCCTGGGACTCTTTTTTGGGCAGAGTAGGATATTTTCAGCTTGCAGGACTTCAAGGCTGAGCTGCAAAGGCTCCTTAGTGAGATACTGGGGGTCCCTGGCAGAGTCCCTGCGATGGGTGGTGCAGTGCGGGGTTCCCAGAGCCATGTGGAAGCACTGAGGGGTGCTGGCAAGGACAACAGTATTGGAGACCCCGGGTAGAGACAGGCTAGGGGGAAATGGTGTGGGGAGAGGGGCCAAACTGGTGCTGGGGGACCCCCAGAAGGTTGGAGGGGTAGGAGAAAGAGGGAGGAGCCTCAGGGCCCTGAAACTAGGATCCTAAGAGGGAGGACCCAAGGCAGTCTCAATAGGAGAGATAAACAACATAGGAAGGAAGCCAGGACCCCCAACAGCATAGAGAAGGAGGATCCCTGGGACACAGTCAGGAGAGAAAGAACCCCTGGGATGCCCCAAACCCTGGGCATTCATAAGCTGAATCTCAAAGAAGGGGAACTACCTGGACCCATCGTACCCCCAAGCAGCCCAGAGAAGGGGAACCTCAAAAACCCCAAAGTGGGAAGACCATAGAGGGAAGATACCTGAAATTACCAGGAACACACGCAGCCTGAAGAGTCTGGGGACCCTGTAAAAATCTAACTTTAAATACATGCAGGACCCCAAGCATCCTGTATAGGGGACACCCCCAGAACCCCAACGTCAGGAAACCATAGAAAGATCTTTGTACCAGTGGGCACATTACAGCCTCGCAAAGGCAAAAGATCCTGAGAGATGTCACAGTGCATACGTGTAGCAGAGATGCTGAAAAGTGGCAAAGCTGAATAACCTCTCTCAGCTTCTGTTGTGGTGTGTTTTATGTTTGTTCAGTTTTCCCCCCATTGTTCTCTCAGAAGGTCCTGCCTTGTTACCAGTTTGTGTCAATCCCCAAACCCCTCCCCAGTTGTCTTGGTTATCAAATGCATCTTTCTTGTTCCCCACCCCTGGCGGCCTGCCTGTCACTCAACACCCCTGCCTCTTTTTCTAGAGAGTTCAGGCCAGGATGTCGGGTGATTGGGTTAGGGGCCAGGGTCCCTCCCACAACTGTGTTTGATGGGTTCTCCGATCATGCCAATCCTTAATGTATCCTTCTCTGATTTGCTATCTTTCACCCCTCCCATCCTCTTTAAAACCCGAGGCTTTCCCTGCCTCGGGGCTCTCAGCTCCTTCTACTTGACCCTCCACGTTTCCCTACCAATAAAACCACCCTCCCTGAAGAAACTGAGAGTCGCCTCTTCATTTCATCCTGCGACTTCGGAGCTCTCTACTGCGGCCACACGTCTGTAAGCCTGTCATCGCTAGGCACCGGGCCTTGACTTCGTGTTGGGGAAGTGCCTTACTGGCTGGAGGTTGGCTGGACACTTATCTAGCCTGGGCGTTTTACTTTCCACCGGCCACCGCTCCAAGCTTCAGTCCTGTGCAGATCACAGAAGGCAAAGAATGAAGCAGCAGAGCAAAGGGCTTTTGTGCCCACTGAAGGGAACTGCAAAAATCCAGCAGCTACTCATTCACAAGCACAGTCAACTGTGTGTGCTCTTGCTTCTTGAAAAACTCACTGGTGTGTGCTCTTGCTTCTTGAAAAACTCACTGGTGCCCTTCTTTTCTCATAGGAGGGGTTTTTGGTCTGCATCTTGTTTTGGAGGTTTGTGTTGACACAGAATGCCTGGTGAGTTCTGGAGATGGATTTGTACAAGAGGAAACCCCAACCCAACACTGTCACACCTTGTTACACAACAGTCCCATAGCTTGTTTTCCCCCAAAACCAGGATTTGTCATTTCTAAGCTTTGGCTGGATGGAGAAGGAGGCTGTAATAAAGAGGAAGATGCCCCAGGACACTGAGGCAGGTGAGGAGAAAGTCAGTGCCCCTATCCCCCTCTCCTCTGCTCCATCTCCCAGCCCAGTATCGCCCCTGGCTGCAAGACAGCCTTGCTGCCGACACCATCCTGATGGATTTGGAGGAAGTCCTTCCCCCTCCCTCTGGCACAGAGGCAAATTCCATCCTCTCCTTGTCCTTCCTCTCTTCAGGCACTGAGCTGCAGGCAGAGACCAGGGTGGAGAAATCCCCCTGGCAAAACATTGTGGAAGAGGCCGTTTTGAGCGCCTCCACAACACAGGAGTCCAACGGGGAGGAAAAACCCCAGAGATATCCCATGAGGAAGGGCTCCAAATCCAGCCCAGGGTGCTCCAAGGAGGAAAATCCCACCCTGTGCCAGAAGTCAGCTGGAGCTTCAGCCAGAACTCAGACCTGGTGATCTACAAGCAGCATCATATTAGTGAGAAGCACTACAGGGACTTGGAATGTGGGAGCGAGCTTCAGCCAGAGATCCCATCTGATCTGCCACCAGAAGATCCACACCTGGGAACAGCCACACAAGTGCTGAAATGTGGGAAGGACTTCAGTGATGACTCCAACCTCATTATCCACCAGAGCCTGCACACTGGGGAGCAGCCCTATAAATGCAGGGAACATAGGAAGAGCTTCAGCCGGAGTTCCAACCTCCTCTCTCTCCCACCAGCTTGTCCACACTGGGGAGCGGCCCTACCAGTGCCCCAGCTGCAGAAAGAGACTCAGCTTCAGATCCCACCTGGTCTACCACCAGAAGATCCACAGTGAGGAACAGCCCTACAAGTGTCCTGAGTGCAGAAAGAGTTTTCAGAGGTGCGCTCATCTGGTCATGCTTGAGCAAACACACACAGAGGGAGTGGCCCTTCTGCTGCCCTGACTGTGGGAAGGGCTTCAAGCACAACTCCACTCTCATCACCCACTGGTGCATCCACACCAGGGAGAGGCCCTACGAGTGTCCTGAGTATGAGAAGAGCTTCTCCTACAGCTCTGCCTTGATTTCACCCTAATGGATCCATGAATAGGGGAAACTGTGGTAGCCGTGTCTTTAAGGTCCACCTGAGCCGCCGTCTTCGCCCGGTAGCAGACGGAGCGGGAGGAGCGCGCGGTTTCTCGGTTCGGCACCATCGACAGGGGCGCGCCGCTCGGCGGTCAGCTCTGCCAGAGGCGGACAAAAAGGCACGGGAACACAGACAGGGAATGGGAGAGCGTCCCCCCAACCGGGGCAAGTCCAGGTTTTATTCCAGAACGCGGAGTAACACCTAGGGAAAGCTGCTGGACCGCAGGGCGGCGGAGGGAGGGAATACACGTGTTATATAGGAGAAACGGGAGGGGGAGAGCTCAGACAGGCAGCGAATGGGAGCCCACGGTGAGCGCGGGCTTTTCAGAGAGACAGGACGGGAAGCCAACTGAGAGAGCTCAAAGGTGGGACCCCGGTCCCCGGCCCAATAATTCCCTGTACAGCACCGAAGTTTCTGGATAAAAGGGGGACATTTGGGGGTGACAGAAAGGGCACGGGTTTCCAGGGTAACTGGTGATGGACAGATAACAGGGAAAGAGGGGGAATTCCAGACAGAACCATTATACAGAAAAAGGGGGTAACAGAACATTCCAGCTTAAACCAGGGGAGCATAATAACACAACACAACAGGAAGCCCTACAAGTGCCCTGACTACAGGAAGAGTTTTATCTCCTGCACCAACTTCATCACCCACTAGAGGACCCACGTTGCATTATCCACAGTGACCCATATTGTGAAAAAACATGGTGATCTGCATTCCTGGTGATCCATGTTGCGTGAAAAACTGGTGACCTATGTTCCACATGATCCACATTGGGAAGACACCTGGCTGGTGGTCTTTAGGCACCTGGATGAACGCAGGGGAAAACTTCTATCAGGATGGGGACTGACATCGGAAATTGAAATATTGAGGCTTGAACAGCAGGCCCCGCACCAAAGTTATCTCCAGATGAACCTTCTAACCAAACATTATATGATACTTGCATCTGCTAGTCAGTGAAATATCAATGATCATTAGTGAAATATGTAATGTGATACAAGTGTATTTATCTTTCCATGTTTAGGGGACAGTCAAAGCAATGAAATCGGATATGTGGCCTTGTTTGGAGGTACAACATCAAAACCAGCTCCCTTGGTTCCTTCTTGAGCCCTGACCAGGTTTTGGGTGGAACCCAAATGTTGTGGGTTGATGCTGGCCAGATGCCACGCATCCACAAAAGCCACTTACTCACTCCCCTCCACAGTTGGACAGGGGAGAGGAAATATGTAACAAAGGGTTCATGGGTTGAGAGAAGCACCGGGAGAGTCATCCCTCACCAAGCACTGTCACAGGCAAAACAGAGTCAGTTTTGAGATATGAAATGAACTAACAGAATCAGAGCAAGATAATAAATAAAATAAGCCCTTAAAACCACCTTCCCCCCAGCCCTCCCTCCTTCCCAGCTCTGTCCCAGCAGCACAAGGAGACAGGGAATGGGGGTTACAGTCAGTTCATTGTCTGTGGCTTCTCCCACTGCTCAGGGAGAAGAGTTGTTCCTCAGATGCACTGTGGGGTCCCTACCACAGGAGACAGTTCTCCATAAACTTCTCCAGAGTGAGTCCATCCCATGGGCAACAGCTGTCTGCAAACTGCTACAACGTGAGTCCATCACAGGGGCAACAGTCCTCCCCAAACTGCTGCAATGTGGGTCATCTTTCCATGGGGTCAGTCATTCAAGGATCTTTTATTAATCACTATATGCAATCTTTTGGACTAATTATTTGGTGCATTACTTATCCTTTTTTAATTCTTTGCTCTTTTGAACTATAGAAAATTATGCTTATTTCTTAAAGTTGTGTCTTTTGTGCTGACCCCATCAACTGGCAGAACAGAAATTCCTTAGGAAGACCTGCATTTGCTAGTCCTCATGCTCAGAGTTTCTTTTCTTGGGAGTTGGTTGGTTTTGGCGTTGGTGGCCGTGAGTCAGTGGTCACTGTCTGCCCCTGCCAGAATTCCCTTTGACCCAGTCAGAGCTGATTTCACACAGTTGCTGGATTGGGCTTTCCTTGTGGCCTATAAATTCTGCAATCTTTGTGTCCCATCTCAGCGATCCATTCTCCTCCCCCAGCTTTGTCAACCTCCCCCAGTCCTGAGACAACACCTGGACAATTGTCCCACCCTGATCTTACCTACAGTCCAGATGCCGGGTATCCACTGAGGAATATCAGAATATCAGGGGAGGACAGGAGGGGAGGGGGGAGGGAGGATTCAGTGGTCAGTGGAGGTGGCAGCTGCCCGTGTGTCCATAACTTGGGGTGAACTTCGTTTGACTGGTGATGTGCATATGAGCAGTTGCTTCTTTACACACTTTGGCACAGTGGGAATTTTTGTGGGCATGCATTTCCCAGCATGTGCCACCCAAATCTCGCCTCTGCCAGGCCTGGAGTCAGCACCTTCCTGTTACTCCTTTGTGTGCTTATCTCATGGCAAAGCCCTTCTGTGGCCTTGGCAGTGTTTGAGATGGGTAGCTCTGCTCCTTGGGTCCTTACACAGCCTGATCCATCACCCACCCACGAGTGACCTCACACCTGCCTTGAGTGTTGGAGGAGCTTCAGTGACAGCTCCAACCTCAGCTCCCACCCAAGGATTCATCATGGAAAGAGACTGGTCTCCTGTGGGAAGAGCTTTGGCCAGAGCACGGACTTGATCTCCCACTGTAGGATCCACGTTGGGGAGAAACCCTGTGTCTGCCCAAACTTTGTCCAGAGGCTCCACTCAAATTAAGATGTTTTGAAAGTGGAATTAAGCCACTTGGGGTTTGTATCAAGAGATTCTGGGGGAGCATGGAGCCATTTTCAGTGTGATTGTGTTGTTTTAAGATGATTGATCAATCCCTCTTGCCTTTTGCTGTGCACACCAATGCAGAAGACTCCCCTACATCCCCACGGAATCCCCAGATCCTCTGGAATATCCCCCTGAACTCCAAATTCTCCCCAAAAAGCAGTAAAATGGGAGGGTTTTACGTATCTTTTTTCAACTTCTTTATTTTTCCCCCACTTTCAGGTGTTTTAACGGGATGAAGAGGAATCAAAAGAAAATTAAGGCCAAAACAAAAGTATTTACATGTTGGCATTGTGTGAATATCCATGGAGTTGGGTTGGGTGGGTGGAAGAGAGAATTTTTTTGAGGAGTTTCCACCCCATTGTGTCTGAAATCTTGGTCTTCGCTCCAGTCCATCGGTGTGAAAGACACCCATGGGCCATGGAGAAGTAGAATTGTACTATTGAGTTGTAATTGTACTAATTGAAATAGGAGGAAAATGAGATGGAATTAGGGAGGAGGAGGAATAACAGGAAGCCAATGGATCCACCGCTCTCCATATCTGCAGCCCTCCCCAGCCTGGGGGCATCATCCCCCCCCCCTTGCCTCAAATATCCAGGGGGAACAGGGTTGTCTCTCAGTATTTGTTTTTTATGAGCCAATATCTGGATTTTGCAAAACTCCAAAGCTGATCTGCAAATGCCCCTCGGGTGATACTGAGGGGATTCCAGAGATGTTCTTTGTCTGGGGAGTCCTGGTGGCTGCTGCCAGCCGAGCCATGGGGGTTGGCAGGGGATGTGGAATCCCTGGAGCTGGGTGGTGATCAGCCAGTAGCAGGGCAGGGGGACCAGGAACTCCCTTTCTGGGGACTCCTCAGGAGAGCCAGGGTTGGGGGAAGACCAGGACCCTGGAGAGAGGAAAACTGAGAGAGGCAATGTGGTAATCACAAATCCTCTGAACAGAGAGAGACATGGTTCTCTCCCAGGATTTTCCTGGGAAGCTGTGAGAAAGTTCAGAGAAGAGAATGAGAAACAATTCTTATCTCCATTTGCTGCACTTTTTGTTGTGCACGTGTGGAATGTGTTATGGAGATTGTTTACCAAAGGGTGATTTCTTAATTGTACACTGGATGGTGTTTGGATTGATTGACCAATTAGGTTGAAGCTGTATTGGACAGTCAGTAAGAGTTACAAGTTTCTTAAGAGTATAGTATAATGTAGTATAACTTAATAAAGTGTCGCTGTCGAGGCGGTCACGACATAAAACAGAGACCACAAGCAGTCTCAGTTGGCAACACTTTATTATTGAATATGGCTGATTTTTATACACTTTCCAATTGTTTATCCTTCTTCTATCTTTACTATTGGCCACAATAAATCAACATAATACTATTGGTGAAAAAGTTATGGTGACTTAATTAACTTTCTAAAAATGTTTCATCCAGCTGCAAAGTTCTTCTATCTTTCTTCTCTCGGTCTCCTTGGTTACAGCCTTGGGGAGAGCTCCTTATCAGTTTCTTCTTACTTCTCAGCTTCTTCTTGCTCCTTTAGCTAACAGGCCCGCTGTTAGCCCCTTCCACAATTCCCCCTTTTTGTTTTTGGACTGTAAATACAGCTGCTATGGACTTTTGCAGGGCCCTTTGCAAAAATCCCAGCAGAGAGGGGACATACAAAACCCACAATCACAACCATCAACAAAATTCCCACTCTTAATACAATCATTCCTGTCCTTCATCCATCTTTGAGTACTGATATATGGTCTTAGCTGGTGTCATCCGCACGTTCTGCTTCAACTGCGGAACCATCCATCCTGTCCTTTCCTGCACGTTCTAGGTAAGGTTTAACACAGCGAGCAGGAACCCATCGAGGACCATTATCTGTCAAAACACAAGCATAACCCCTCCCCCAGGTTATCAGTTCCACTGGGCCAGACCATATACCAGTAATCAAATCCTTAACTCATACCTTAACATTTCTACGGAAATCTGGTTGCTTAGAATTCAAAGAAGAAAAATGGTAAAAGATTGGAGATAACTGTGAATCAGGTAGGGGACGCAAAAAGTTTAACACATAAACAGCTTTATCTAATCTCACTTGAGGTGACTCCTGTTGCATTCCCCCTTTTTGTTTTTGAACCTGACGTTTAAGAAGTCCGTGAGCTCTTTCAATAATTGCTTGGCCCGTGGGGAC